TTTTGTTTATGGAAAAACGATTATATTGTATAACATTATAACCTTATATATTATAACAATATTTTAGGTCTAAAAAAATCGTACTTTTCTAATTTGTGTATAATACCTAATATTATATACTATATCCCTAGTTTTACTGAAATCTGATCTAGTAAAAAACGGTTTGGTATATTATTAAGTTCAATTTCAGGAAAAATAATCCTAGATACCAGTTCTTAGTACATAGTATATTGTTTTGGTTCTTTACGAGTGAACATTTTGAAATCTTTCCCCCTTGAACATAATATTAGGCAAAATATTGAAACCGTATACCTAATCAGGGTATAATATGATATTATATTATGATTGTGTGACCAAAATTTATTTATAGCTCTGACATACCTGAAAAGTAAAACATTTAAGCTCATGTAAAGCATAATATTATATTTGTAAAATTATTTCTCAAACACATAATACTAGGTAATTGCGTACACAATAACATTAGTAGTAGGTACCTACAATATATTATTAAAATGTATGTAAAATGGCAATTATAAGTTATAATAATCGTGTCTGTTATTGTAGCATATTTTAATTAACATATGCGAGCCACTGAAATACGATAAATAAACAATTATAAATGTGTATAATTATTGCCTAGTTTTTACATGTACCTAATCTATATCGCCTGCACTAGAATAGACTATTATGACATCAAAGATAAACAAATAAAATAAACGTATACCCCAATATTATATAATATGCGCAAGTATAAACGATGCGATTTTTGAACTATCCGTGAACAAATAACAACAACAACAACAACAACAAAATGGTAAAAAATTTAATTAATCGCAGCTGACAATGATGTATAATATAGTAGAGTACACGACTGTTGTGTTGTTATCTGCACGACGTCACTGTATCTCAACGGGATTTTCTAATACAATTATTAATATTATAATATTATTATCCGCCTTAATGATATCATACCTAATAATTATTATTAATGCGTGTCGATTATAGGAAGAAAAAATAAATAGTCGCGTGCTCGTTATCATTATAACTACTCACCGCTGGTCGGCGGCGTCTACTCGTCGGCGGCGGTCTCGCTACAACAAGAGAACACGGCCCTGCATTTTGCGCCGGCGGGGCCCACGTCCGTCGCTGTCCGTCGGCCGTGGAGATGTGTCGTCTGTCGGCGCGCGCGAACCGAACACGAAGGACCACCACCGCCAAACCGAGCAACAGAGAGAACACCTCCTGCTGGTGCTGCTGCCGCTGGTGCTCTGCATGTATACGCGCGGCGCACGGTCGGTGTGCGCGCGTAACTCACCACCGCCGCCGCCGCCACCGACCAGGAGTGCGCGTATCGACCGGGCGCGGGCAGCCCCCCGGAGACTGGGCCCGGTGGACCACCAACGCAAGCGCGGTCCCGACTTTTGTGGGTGGCCGACGGGGTGGTCTGTGGCTGGCGGCGGTGGTGGTGGGTGGTGGGTGTCGGGTGTCGGGCGGCGGCGGTGGTGGCGGCGTTCTCCGATGAGGCGCGCTCGACGACGACCCCGCGCCGATGGCCTAATGAAGCGCGAGCGATTGACGTTCCGCAGGAGTTTTTTTTAAATAAAAAAACGTTCGTTTTATGTCAGTCTCCGTTGGTCCCTCCGACAACCCTCCTCGGGTAGACCGTTTTTCCTTCTCACATACCGGTCGGCAAGGGTGGTGGTCAGTGGTCACTGCAGGGCGTCTGCAGTGGTTGACAGGACGTGTGTGTGTGATGTAATAATCAGTAATTATTTAGATATTATTTGGGCACGGACAAACACGTGGGTGAAACTATGGTTAAAATTCTGGAGGGAGAGGGACTGAAGACCTAACCATAAATGTTACATTCAATAACCAGTAGGGGTCCACTCCCAAACCTCCCTCCAGCAGTACTTCCATCAGGCATTTTAGATTCTGAGAGAAGCGAATTCAAGTGACGCTATCGTGAGCCAAGTTAGTCAATCATAGCAATGGTCTACACACAGTTCTATAAACCCACCGCTAAATTATTATCTTGCTGGTTTTTTTTAACATTAATAATATTATAACACGAAAATAACATAAAACCAAACACCATTTCATAATTCATAGTCAAACATTTTTTTTTTTTTTGGGGGGGGTTGGGGGGTGCTTAATTTCGAGCATCCCCTATATACCCTTAGTTGTAGCACTGCAACGGATCATACATATTATACAGCATACAATTCCTAATATTAATTATTAACAGAAGCGAACGATAATACTATTCGCGTAATTATTTTTAAATATTTGTAATTAATACTATTATTATATAATATTATGTTGGGTATCATGATGTATAAACGCGAGCAGTAATTACCATCAAGGGAAGTGAAAAATTCAACCCCTACATCATTAGGGTATTAACGTGGCTGCAATGACTCCCTCCCCAGTATATTATAGGAACATTAGAATCTTCGTTGTCGCAAATCGCAATAACTATACAACACTATCTTGTCCTTAGATGAGGGATTGGCGATTAATGGCTAACTACCACTGGCATACTGCTCCAAATTTAGTCCACGGATTTACTCGACGCAACTCGCAAACCACGATTCTGTGTTGTAAAGTAAGATCCATGATACGAACAATATAAAATTCAACCATTTTTTGCCAGTCGTAAACATTTTTATTTTTACTTCGTTACCGTATAAATTCTCCTTAACGTACGTAATGCGAATATTATTAAGTACAATCATATTATTATTATTATTATTATACTATAAAGGTTACGAGGAGTCATTCTCGAGCATAATATACTTTATGATTGCTTCGATTTGAGTTGACATGATAAAAATGATTATGGGAGATGGTGGGGTGATGGTAAAATGTTAAGACTCAAAGAACGAGATAAAAATCAATTACATATAGGTATTTAAAAATGTTGATCCAATTTTAAACCACCCCTCGCCTTTGCACGCATTTGCTAGTGATCGACTTCTGAGTCAGATCAAACGAGTATAAAAAAGTCCTATATGAGCAGATATAATAATATCTTACATTAGGTACTTTCAAATATAATATTAAGAAAATTATTGTAGGACATATTTTGTATGCACGATAAAGCGAGATATTTTTACCTACCACTTAAACAGAGTTATACTGAAAATCGTCGTACTGTGATTATTATAAAAGTTGACCGATAATTATTTCTCGGATCGTCCGAACCAACTCCTATTGTAATAACTATTATAACTATAATAACTAATAAGTATATTAATAAATTAAAAATATACATAAATCTCGACTTTCATGGCTCAGCTTCGATTTGAGCTTCGTTTTCACAGTGAATGTCCTCGAGTGCGAAATATTAGATGGATAGTGATGTACAGGGTGTGAAGAGACGAGTCATGAACAAGACTCGGTGTAAATTTTGGCCCGAAGAAGTGCGCAGTTTGATTTCCAATATAGTAACAACGAGTAACGACGCCCCGGGCGGCTCGTAAAAGTGGGATGCACAATATCAGTCACCTACATTATTTGCAGGCTCCTTGTAGGAATATATAGTGACAATATCATAAACTCTACGACACTAATATTTAAAATGTATTATACGTATAATGTGGGTGTATATTGTATTGTATGGGATTGGAAAATCCAAGTAAGTACCTATGTAACATCATAACCGCAGTGAAATAGTGACGAGACAAATCCAATTTTATTATTACTTAAAAATATAAGGTGATTTAAAACATATTATCCTAGCGGAAATTTCCTCGCAGAATTATAGTGATATCGTAATGATAAAATAACTAAACAAATAAAATAATAGAATTTCGTAGAACATAATAATAATTACCACTTGAACCACAATTCTTCGTTTATTCGCATTCACCCGGTTGAATGACGGGTTGCACACTAGTGTCTAGTCTCGACGCTGAGGACTTTTTTGTGCGTTCTAGAGTGCATATGCATGTGATTTCTTTCATTATTGTTTTTTATTTATTCTATCTTTGTTAAACATACCTATGTTTAAATTATTAAAATTATAATATTTGATGGTACAGTTATACACTGTTACAGTACCAATACATAGAGGGACGAATTTGATTTTCTGCCGTCTATATTATGCATTATTAGTCATTATAATACTATTTTAATAGTGTTTGGCGGCTTGCTTTTGTTTGCAGATCCAAAAATATGTGCACACTTTTTTACTCGTATATTATATAAATTGTAATAAAATAACATTGGGAGTGTATCGTGTGTATTATTTAACTTAAATTCTGAATAACAATACAATTTGATCACAATTTGGTCGATTTACAAAAAAAAAAAAAAAATCAAGAGTAGGTAGATAATTAATTAAATATTATAAACTAACATTTTTATAAAAACAACAATTTATTTTCTAGTATAACTAGAAAAATCATAAAAAAAAACCAGAGTTCGTGTTTTTGAAGAAGTGTTACTGAACTCAGATACTCCATCTCGTCGTATTATTCTTATAGAGATCTAAATACATTTCAGTTTTTTGATATGACTTATTCCCATAAAATGTTCATTCAAAATATGTTATTTGTCCTACATCATTTCGATGGAACTATAATTTTGAGTAGAATATTGTCACACAATTACTGAAGCACTGGACACTAAAGTGATGTAAGAATAATATTTATAAATTATAAGTATAATAGTTTTTCAAATAAATCTGCATACTCATCTAAGAATATTTTTAAAAATAAGAATAATTAAAAAAAATAATTAGTATTTAAAATATTACCTATTTTACTTTTGCACACAACAATTAATTAATTAAATAATGATGTCAATAATAATATAGTAAGTTCGTGTTTGACAGTCGACCGTGCAACATGTGTGTACCTCGTTTTAATAGCTCTCGATAGCAAAGAAACACGCTGACACACACGAGTAATATGCATCTAAATTATAATAATATACTATAAAGGTAACAAATATAATTAGATAACAAACACGCACGGGCTATAGTCGCTCAGATAATGGGCGATGACTCCACAGCCGGGCTCTTCGAGACACTATCTACAGTCCAATTAAAACCTCAACCAATTAACGACATCTCTTATAATGTTCACAAAGAATTAATAACATCACCAAAATCTCCGAAGTCCAACTACACGAAAAGTGGTGATATTTCACAATCTAATAACGTTTCAAATATAGACTCAAATACCGAAAACGAAAAAAAAATATTCAAAACATTTTGCTGAGGCAACCACAACCAATACCTGCCCCAAACTGAATCAATAGTCTTCACTGCAATTTATGGCATTAAACAAATAGATAACCTTATAACCATTTCATAAAAAAAAAAAAAAAAAAAAAAAAAATGCAGACTCAATAAATAATGAACAGTTAGCACCTTCTGAGCCAATTGTCAGCCAAAACGATAAGATACCTATGAGCTATGACCTTCCCTCAGCTCAAGAACATTTTAGAAAACTCCTCCAACAAACCTATGATTTGTGTTAAGTGTCCGGCACTGACACAAACAAATTATTTAAAACAATTGTGTTAATAAGACCTGCACTCATCGACAGAATAATCAAGACCAAGATTAACTTGCTAACATCCTTTTCCAAATCATGCCCCCCTCCGGGACGAAAACTAGACATATCCATCTCCATCCCAATCGCCCTAGCCCCTCTACTCTTCTACGACTGTACATCTTATATCAATTTTCTTCATCTTTCTACTCTTTTTCTCTTTACCTTAATTTATCTGAATCTCCAAGTATGAGTTCAACAGCAAAGAAATATATGTCAACTCAACTTTAGAAGTAATAGCAATTCAGGCTTTCCTCGAGACAACAATAACTATACGCAATATATATATATCCGACAGTACCCCTCTTTCACTCCAAGAACCAATAACTCGATAATAATACAACTTCCTAAACCTTTCTTAATTCTGGACGACTTCAACAGCAAAAACATCACAATATGGGGATCATCACAAACCTGCATTCGTGGAAAAACACTAGAAAAATTATTAGAAAATTCTTCACTGCGATACTATTAAATAACGGCGACCCAACAAGACACAACTCCCCAAACAGCTCTTTATCAGCGATCGACTTAACAATATCCAGCAACTCAAATTCTACAAAAACATTCCCCAACCTCAATTAGGTATAAGAAAAGGGTACCGGTCTGCTGTACAGTAGGTTACAAGTAGGTCACTGTAATAGATTGTGTTAAATTTGAATTTAATGATATAATATCATCATTGTATACGAAAAACGATTCTGAGCGAAGACAGTCAGCGTATGATATATTACTAAATATATGGATTGTGGAACCTTGTTTTATATTTTCAATCCTTAGCTATAAAAGTTGAACATTTTATACATTTTTAACTACATAATAATCATTTTTAAATTTTAAATTTGATACATTTTGTCAAAATTTGAACTTTAAATGCTTATAAAAGAAAATAGTGTCTATATATTTTTAATATTAATTTTCAATTGTCATTTTTAACAGTGGCTTGGCGAACGGTAATTTCAGAGGCCTTGGCCTCTGAAATTTTTCTTAAATAGAGGGGTGGGTGGTAGCCAGTGGGTCCCCTAGTAAATTGAATATGATATTCTCAATAGGTAGTCAATAACGATCTGAAATATAACTTGTTATATTACATTAATACATTATTATGCATAAATACTTGGGATATTTGTAACTGGCCTCTGGAAAATTTTTAGTTCGCCACGCCACTGATTTTTAACAATATATTAGGAGACTTGTATTAAATTTTCAAGCTTTTCGACCCGACGAATAAAATTTAATTGACATTTAAAAAAAAAAAAAAAAAAAAAAATTGGAAACTGAATAATATATGTCCGTGTACCGCTCAAAGCAAGTCAAAATATTTCAAACATTTATCGTGTATATAAATTGATATATTAAACATATGGTGTAAATTTCAAGTATCTACAGTTAATCGTTTTTGAATTACACCAAAAACCAAAATCGATTTTGTCAATTTCCGTGTTTCCTTAATTTTTGTTTTGTTTTTCTCTGTGCTTTTGAAAACTATTGAGAATTTTAAAGAAGCTCCAAACAGACACTAAAAATTAAAAAAAAAAAATTAAAAAAAACCACGCATCATTGTAAAATAAATACATTCATCGCTCCGTTTACAATCTAAAATTCAAAATAATAATTTAAAAACTAAACCAACACGAACGAGTTAAAGATGCATACGATACCGATATTTATATATTGTAAATTGAATGTGTATAGTGAGTGTCATGCAGTGTCAGATCATTGATCTGGAGAGAAGACCTTTTAGGAGTGAGTTTACGAGTGTACGTGTTTCCAGTAAAAGTCCATTAATGAATTTATGAGCGATTAAAAATGTCAACATGCAATATAATTATTATGTAATATTAGCATATTCTGCTCTAAACCTTAAAACAAATTAATCAAAATAGTTAAGCATACAGTCTAATTACAAAACAATTTATTCGAAAACTTAATATACTATGTAACGTCGTCATTATGTATTTTAAGATCAGTGATAATTATTATTGGGTGATTAATAATTATTAATCGTTTTGTGTTTATCTATAATCTAAAAAGTTGTATTCACGTTTGATATTTCTTAATTTTCAAAATAATTTATTATAAGTGCCGTAATATACAATTATTGTATCACTTGTATCTTGCATATACATATAATTATATAAATTGTTAGCTATATGCCTATCATGATACTTTACATGTTATTTTAATGTATAAGTGTATAACTGATTGTACAGAGACGTCTAATGTAAACTCGACACGAATGACAAGGTAGATTATCATAATTTATGGAGTAGGTAGGCATATTAAATATACTCGTGCTTCTTATTTAATTAATGATTCAATAAATTAAAGTTAATAATTACTAAAGTAATATAAAACAGAGGTTGAAAATATAATAACAATTAAACATTTTTCTTATCGACATTATTTTGGCCGATGACCAATATAAACATTTTGTGAAATAATATATATTATCGTCAGTTATCACTTATATTACCTATGTTCTATATTAACGTTAAGCACATATTATAATATGAAGTGTAATATAAAATGATCTGCCGTCTGCCTTTAAACTGTTAAGCTACCCATAAACAATTGTTATGACTAAATTTTAAATTATATTGTATATTATATATTTTTCAGTTGTAGAACTGTAATGTATACATAAAATATTTATGTACCCATCCAGTATCTATTTTATTTTATATTAAATCGTAAAAAGACAAAAATTATTTTTCATAAAATATTATAATATACATTACCGGCCCCGAGGAACAAAAATAATATAATAAGAATATATAAAAAAAAAAATGGTACCTATAATGAAAATTCTATTAACGCTCAGATAATTTGAAATGGTATACAATATACCAATATCCCATACTCATGGGACACCTCGTTTATAGGTACTCTGCCGTGATAAGCAAAAACGTCGTAGGTCCCCAAAAAAAATAAAAATGAGTTAAAAACAAATAAAAATGTAAAATTTTTCTTGTGTAGATGAATATGTCGTTTATAAATTGACTGAAAAATAATTTATTTGTTTTGTGAATTTAATATTAAAATATAAAAATAGTCTTATCATTTCAGAAATTGTTATTTACGAGCATACGGCATTTTTGCTTTTGAATAAAGTATCAAAAGTTTATACCAATACTAAGGTACAACGTAAAAAGTAAAATATCTTGTTTGAAATTAATTTAATCATATTCATTATTGTTTCATTGCATCCGGTGGGTAAAATTACATAGGAAAACATATATCATATTTAAATAATTAGAACGTACAAGGTGTTAAGATATTTTATGAAAATATCAAACACAAAAACGCGTTTTTCTCAAAATCGTTCTCCGGTGACCTACGGCGTTTTCGCTTATGACGGCAGAAACTGCATAATAATATGAAGACCACGTGCTAGAATAAAAAAAAAACAGAAACAAATAATAAATAAATATAACAATAAAATAAAATAAATGAAAGGGCTTGCCGCAACAACCAGATTAATCCACTTTAACAAAAACAAAGATCTATATTTTGATAGAAAAATCAGAAAATTCACTTTATTATTTTCAAAAATATCTTAAAATGAATTATTTCCTGCTAATTGTTTTAAATGAGTTAAAGAATTTTGTTTTGCTTGTCCAGAGCAATCAGTAAAATGTGACTTATCTGATTGCTGCAGCAATACCTTACAATTATTGTATAAGTAGGTTCTTATATTTTTCCATCGCCCAAAATAATTGTGTACTTAAATTTTGTGGTTTTGCCGTTTTGGTGTATTTTATATGTATACTTCTTATAAAATGTTATAAAATATTGACTGTTCATATGAAATACTAATTAGCACAGCGACATGTAAGTTACAAAATGATTGCATAAGATAAATTTCATCGTTTTCGAAAAATACAAAATACCTACTGTCAATGATAAAAAAAACTTGTAATAGTCGATAGAGTGAGAAAATAGCGAAAAATTGTCTATGGCCCTCAGCCAGTATGTACTATAATATTATATATTGTATAGGTATTCCTCAATGTCTCAATATATGGGTAGGTACACACTACCTGTCATTGATTGTGCTTTATCCATTACAATGATCTACTCAAGTATCCTTATATACTGCCATACTGGGTAGGCATGTTCGGGTTTTTTTTTTTTACATCAAACGATCAGTAAAAATTGTATAAATATCCAGTAGGTACCTATACAGATTTTTAAAAATGGATTAATAAGTCTATCTTTGTGAGCATATTATTCTTCAGATGGAGTTAATTTGTACAAGGATAGCAATAATGAAAAAAATATTTAAAAAAACTCTTACTATTATGTAGGTGTTCTATACACGAGGTTCGGACGATCCGTACACAAGTAAACGTTCGTGAAATAATTTGTAAAATGGTTACAATTTTAAAATTAACAGATTTTTTTTCTTTTGCTGACAAACTTCATCTCTTTACAACGTCCCACAACAGCTATTTCTGTACAAAACTTGGATGATTGAATGAGTTCTGTCAACACTTAATATCCTCTTTTTATAATGTTTCTACTTACTAATCTGTTGGGCCATTTAAAAAGAAAACATCTCAACTTACAAGTCTTCACACTTTAAATGTTACAATTCATTTTGATGGGGTTTTTTTGTTGTTCTCGTTGATAATTATGACGAAAAAAAATAAACATCTTTT